TTTTCATACAGATTTTGTTTTTACATTATCTTTAAGTTGTTAATTCATTTATTATTAATAAATAATACTGTCTTGGTGCGGATATTAACTGTGCATAAATTTTTAAGAAAAGCATATTATGTAGTAAGATAAAAATTCGTAGATGCTAAAATGCTTAAGCTCCCTGAAGTAACGGTTTCCCTCAATATTTAAAGCTTTACGAGATAACATTTTAAGGGTAACTTGCTTTGTTAATTTTTCCAGCAAAGTGATTCACGGCATAATTATCAGGTCTTTAAAATATATAAAGATGCATGCGGTTGATTCTTAAAAGCGCGCGCGATTAGAAGAAAAAACTATTTTGCCCGCAGAAAGGAGAGTTTTTCTCTACAATGCGGCTCATCTTCTGTGTAGTAACTCTGGGAAAACCGATATTTTACGTTATTTATTTCAAAACTTAGTAAATCTCAAATGGCAACAGATGGCGATCCATTGAGGTCCCCCAGATTCGAATCCCAGCTGGTCGATACGAATTCTGCTCCTGGTTCGCACCGATCACAGTGCTGACATAAAATATCATCAGTGATGGACGGATCATGGGTTAGAATCCCCTCTCCGTCGGGCTAACCGTGGGAGGTTTTCGTGGTTTTTTTCTCCATGTAAATCAAATATTGGTTAGCCCCATCATGAGGCTTGTTTGTCCCATTGTTTAATCCTGGAGTTCCCTTGTCTTCTGGATTACTTCAAAATTACAAGACTACAAAGTTGAACATTGAGCCACGCTCACACTGACTAGAGAAAAAAAAAGGTTTGCTTATAAAAGTTTATATAACTTATGTAAGTCAACCCTTAAATTATTCACTTTTTAATGCTGGTACGTTTTTTATTTTAATATTTCACGTTGTCCAATGTGCATTAAAAAAATAGTTGAATTCACAATAATTAAAAAGCAATCGTAATTGCTTACATGCTCTTTGTAGACATTTAATGTTATTGACATAATTATCACCGTTATTGCTATTTTAAGAACCTTTTTCATTGCTTATATATGTTTTCAACTTATTGCAAACAATATAATAAATTTGTTTCATGTAAGCATTTAATTATGTTAATTTTACAACAAACTTTCTGCACTGAAGTTTCAAATATACTACGAGCACTGCAAAACCTTTAAGATGCCTTGAACTATTATCCTGGTTTTTATCCAACTGCAAAAATAGCAGTGCATTAAGGCTTAAGTAGTAGCTGATTCTCTCCACCCCTATCTTCCAATGCAATATAATATCCTAGGAGCAATACTCGTCTGCCAGAGAGTATTCCCCGTGAACTTTGACTTTCATCCGAAAAGCCATTTTTGGATCACGTGACACATTTTCATCGATCTCTCGAGCAAGAGAAGGGGGGAGGGCTTAGTATTATATTCCTTTAATCGAAAGAAGGAAGCTTTCAATGAATTAAAGACATACATCGTCCTCCCTTTGTGCATACATGTTCTCTTACCAACGCACGCCAATGCTTTACACCTCCCCCAAGGCTAAGAGACCTATTTCGTGCTTTTCCTGAATGACCTTATCCCTTCTATTCTTAGTCCAGAAATACGCTCTATTGAGTTAAGTCTGCACACCTTTTCTTATTCTCTTTCTTCCCTCCCCCTTTTGTAGCTTCCGGGGAATTTTTGGATGGCATTTAAATTAATTTCTGTAGCTTTTTTCTTTCGTTTTAATAACTTGTTCCCGGTAATAGAATAAAGGCATTTCTTAATATAAAGGAACGATTTTTATGGAATTTGATTTCTCAGAAACTAACCGACCGATTTCGTTCGAATTTGGGGATTTGCCATTTAAAATTACATTCTTTAAAGAGATGTAAAAATCTGCTTAACTTACGATTCGGAATATTTTTTGACTATTATTATTTTGTTTTTGTTATTAATAAAAATAATAAAATTAAATAACGATAAACAAATAATTTTTAAAAATTATTTTTTTTGATGCATGGAATTATCTTTGGATAAACGAATTTTATAATTAAGTGCTAAAAGTTTACAAGAAGTTTTTGAAATATTGTGAAATACGCAAAAAGGCATAACTAACATTAAAGGGTGCAACTTTCAACTGATTCGAACCATATTTTCTTGATTGCGGTTACCCCTTCCCCTATATTTTGAGAGATAGTGGTTATTCACTCTATTTTGTGAGACTGTAGTTACCCCTTCCCCAATATTTTGAGAGATAGTGGTTACCCCTTCCCCTATATTTTGAGAGATTGTGGTTATCCCTTCCCCTATATTTTGAGAGATAGTGGTTATTCCCTCCCCTATATTTTGAGAAATTGTAGTTACCCCTTCCTCAATATTTTGAGAGATTGTGGTTAGCCTTTCCCCTATATTTTGAGATATTGTGGTTACCCCCTCCCTTATATTTTGAGAGTCAGATATCCAAATCCGTTGGGAAAAAAATCTGTGTTTATTCCGAGAAAGTACGTTTTTGTGCCTGTTTTCGTAATTTAAAATATCGCTATAATTAGCATATTTTAGTATATTAGCAATTTCAAACCATTTAGATTGAGTCCTAGTACGTGAAAAACTTATCTTTAGTTTGAATTTTATCCAGGATGTTCCATTTTTTTCTTTCGCGCGGTGTACATTTTATGTACTGGAACATATAAACACATGTAACATTAATTAAATATTTTAATATATTGATTAATTGAACTCAAATAAAATTCGAGTAAGAGAACGAATAAAATGCGACATTGACATGAACCTTTGATTACAGCTTTATAATAACAAACTTCAGTTATTTTTAGTTATTAACTGCATTCAAATGACGAAGTTTTTTTTCTTCACAACTGTCAAATCTCTGCAAAAGAATCAAACTGGTTTTTGAAAACAAAGGCTGCATTTGGGCTTTTTTTTTTACAAACAATTGCTACCAAAGAATAAAAAAGCTAATAATAAAAATTTTATAAATATCAATCCATTTAGTTGCATCCTATACATGTCACTTCTATTTGTTGCAGCGTGTTTACGTAAGTGTATGATAAAGTTTAATGTTAATAAATCAAGAGGAAGTTTCTTTCAACATTTTCCATTTACAAACAATAATAAGGGGAAAATGCTATAAAAAATTAAAAGAACAAGGGAAGAAATATAAAGGGAAAAAAATATTTTTAAGATCTGATCTAGCTCCTGGTAAAAAATATGTTAAAAATTCCACATTGTACCCGGTACGAGGGGCCTAATTCAGAAGGCCCTTCGATTCTAAAGCCTGCTACTTTGAAAACAATTATAATAATTATATTAATATATAATTGATATAATATTATAATAATTATAATAATATATTAATATAATTTTTTGAATATCATTCGAAACCAGAATTCTTTCCTTGTAGCGACAAAATATGTAAGACTTGCTTCAATGTTGATCAAAAAATATTATTCTAAGTAACCATAATTGTAAATCTATTTATAAACTTATTAATGTAATTTATGCATAAACCGTTTTCTTTGTTGTTTTTTTTTCATTATTAAATATGTTGGACAAATTTTTCTCTTAAAATTAGAATTAACCAACATCGCTCATATATTAATAGTAATAAATTTATACATAATCTAGAATTAATTTATTTTTGAAAATTTGATTTTAATCGAATTAAAATTAATATTTCCTTTGTATAGATGATTATGATTTAAGATAACAGAAAGAAAACCNCTTCGTTTTTTTTTTTTCATTATTAAATATGTTGGACAAATTTTTCTCTTAAAATTAGAATTAACCAACATCGCTCATATATTAATAGTAATAAATTTATACATAATCTAGAGTTAATTTATTTTTGAAAATTAGGTTTTAATAGAATTGAAATTTATATTTGCATTGTATAGATGATTTGGATTTAAGACAACTGAAAGAAGACCATTATTTGGTTTTACATTAAACAGATTTGCCATATGGGCTAAATTATACTTTCCAACATACAGAGATTAACATTAATAACCATTTATTTGGTACATAAAGCTTATCTTTAAAACGGGTTTTGACTTTTCAGTGTGTTTCGTCAAATTATATAAAAATAATATAGATTCTTTTTAAAAATTTTAATCTTGGTCGCGGTGGCTCAAGAGATAGAGCATCCGTCTCTCAATGAGGTGACTCAGATTTGAATCCCATCGGTGGCTGGTTGAATTCTGCTCCCGGCTGGCACAGATCTCAGTGCCGACGTAAGATATCCTCAGTGGATATTTTAGATGGTACATGGGTAAGAATCTCTTTGTTATCTGGTTAACCGTGAGAGTTTTTGGTGGTTTTCCTCATCATGAAACGCAAATGTGGGTTGGTTCCATAGTTTATTCATATTCTTGACTTAGACATTCCCTTGTCTTCTGGGTTGGATTTAAAATTACGAGATTTCGGGTTTAAGCATTAAAAGCCGTAAACTCAAGAATTTGATTTGAATTAGATCAAGAATTTGATTTGATGAATAAAATACCTCGTAAGCTTGTGGAAAATCAATAAAATGTTTTATTTTGTTCTCTACTGAAATTACTGTTCAAATCTATGACCATTTTCACGGAAAACTATCTCTGCAACTACGGAAATTTCTAGCTACAGGTTGTCACCCCTGTATGAGTACCGAATTTTCGGTCTAGTGAATCTCCTTTCATGCATTAAAAAATATTTGTTTGGATGTATGCCATCATTTCTACTAAAGTTTTGTCGTCCATGAATTGAGCCAAACTCTTTTAAATTAACTGCATTTTTTTCCTTCTTTCTATTTTTACATTGACGTATTACTATACCTATTTATCTATTCCGAATGCTTGTTCTCAGTGATAAGATTTAAGTGAAAAATGTAAGAATTGCTTATTGTCAAATGATCGAAGATAAAATTTACGTAATGCGGCAAAGAATAACTGTTTGATAGTTCTTGAGAGCGTATTTTGATCTAGTTTAGTTTTGTCTTATCTTGTAAAAATTTATTGTATGAACTTATGAAGACTTTCTTTCTTTCTTTCAGGTTTGACTTATCAAGAAAGATTAATGAATTCTTGATGATTTTATTTATCTGTTCAGAGTAAGTCATTTCCGCAATTTTTTTTTTACTGTTTTTAGCTCTTTATTTTAAGCTGTTTTTGTTTATATTTTATTTTTATTGTTTGATACGTACTGTGAAACCGTATTGGATTGTAAAAGAAAAGGTAGCTCTCCACATTTACAAATACAATATCTAAATCAGGTTTTAGATACAATTAGACCAATTCAGATACAATACAATTAGACCAATACAATTGTTGAGATATAAATATTATTATAATAGCTTTAATTTACACTAATTTAATATAACACCATATAGTTAAGTTTGTCATATATACTTAAAAACATAAGGCTATTTTCACATTATTTTAGTTTTAGATGAAAGTTTAAATTCTATGTGTCACATTATTTAAGAGTCGGTTTGAGTATTCATACTAAACAGTATTTTGATTATAAAAATTAACTATTTGTTATTGTGAGTTCAATGCATTTATTGTGGTGTATAAGTTAATTTAGTGAAATATACTAATAAAATTAGATTATCATCAATTTCGCTTTCCATTCACTTTTTATTTTTTCCTTAAATGTCGATATTTTCAACAAAAAAAAAAAGATCTATTTTATGTTTATAATTATTGTAATTTTATGCAATCGTAACGGATTGAACGATTAACTGGATTTAAAATATAATCTGAACTTTTGGAGACGGTTTTTTATTTCTTTTGAGTCTTTAATATTTTTTAAAAATTTCGATATAAATGTTAAAATTTATATCTGGCAACATCTGATCTCTTTCTTTCTTTTCATTTTCTTTTTCATTTATTTATTTTTGTTACTTTTGACGACATCAAGTCAAGGGGTAGTTTGCCAAGTGAAAATCTCAAGAGCAAGAGATGAAAATTTCAAAAATAGATAAATAATCATTAGTGAAAGCAAAAAAAGTAAAAAATAAAATATCTAATAAAATAAACTTTTGTACAAATTGGAATTTCGCAATTTTTTTTTATTCAATTCATAAATGAAAATGGCACTTTCAGCACTTATTTAGCATTGAGCATTTATCTAGCATTTCAGCGGACTACAGATCAACTTAACAGGGTATTTTTTTACTAAAAATTTATTAAAACTAATTATGTTAAATATTTTTATTTCATCGAACTTCTTGTACAATTTCTTATACACTTTCGTAATTTGATGTTTCTAAGCCTCATAGATTTTGTGCAGTAAAGCAAAATGTATCGTTAAAAATATAATCGCAAAAAAGCACTTAAAATTGCAATAACTTTCGAACAAAGTTTAATTTCACACCAAAAAAAAAAATATTTTAAGTTTAAGCCAAAATACGACCCTTTTAGCATGCTAAATAATTGCAGTTGTATTCCTGAGAATTGTAGAGCGACCCGTATAGTATTTTTCATGTCAAGTTTAACGGTTAATAGTTCTCGAACTAATTGTCAATTAATTGAAGTCGTACTAATTTTTTTTTATTCCATTGTACTCCTTGTACGTTTTTCTACACACCTTCGTAGTTTTAAGTCAAAGCCCAGCAAAGCAAAATGTGAAGTTAAGTTTAACATACAAAACGGCGGCGGCACTTACGACTTTCTATTATAGAGAAATTTTTAAATTAGGTTTTAGTATTTACGTAAAACATTGAACTAAAATTATTTTAATTTCTTAAGAAAATCATTAATTTCTATTCACAATCGTTACTATTAATTTTTTAACTTACTTAAGAATGACGTATAAGATACCTTTAAAATTAATCCTATTATTTAAACTAAATTATAATTATTAGCTGTCTAAAATATTGTTTTAATATTGGATATTTTTTTAAAAATTGTTTTTCATTTCTTCCACTTGGGCAGGAAGAAACTTATTTCTTCCAGAAAAGTTTTTCCTTGCTTTTTCCGTGGTTCTATTATGGGTAAAACTTACCACCCCTGGTCTGAGCATTATTGTCGTTAAGTACTAATGTCATTAAGTATGTACTAGTGTCATTACGATAATAAATGATGTTCAAATTATAATTTTACTGTGATAGATAGGCAAGCCAAGCAGTCACGTACTGTATATTTTATTTAATTGTTTGTAAAATGTATTTTATCGAATGTTTAATGTTTTTTAACGACGAGAAAAAAAGAAGAAAAAAGCTCACAGAGGGTAGGGTTTAAAAGTTCAAATTTTTTTTTAGAAAATGGTGATTTGATTTCCAGAAGGTTACTTTTTATCTTTATTAAATAAAAACATGCTTTCTGTTCTGAAGAGGTAAAAAATACAATTGTAAGTATAAGCTAATCAACAAATGCGTTTGTATGGCCTGAAGACGAGGGGAAATGTGTCTTAAAGGTTCTATTTTTAATTATGACAGCCAACCCAATTCTAAGTATACGACTACCAATTTTCAACTCCGTAGCCCTGTAATTTTGAACCTAACCCAGAAGACGAGAACTGCTGCATCAAGCACAGGAACCAGGTTTTTAAATTTTTTTTATGGAATTAACTCACATTTGCGTTACTTTAAGAGCAAAACCGCCTGAGGTTAGAGCAACGGCAAGGGAATCTAACCCATGATCCACTGAGGATATTTAACTTCAGCACTGTGGTCGTTGAAATCGACAGCAGAATTCGTATCGACCAGCCACAGCTAGAATTCGAACCTGGGTTACATTATTGGGAAGCAAAGGCTCTGAACTACCCGGACGCTCTAAAAGTCTATTTTGAAATTTATTTTACTTTTTAAAATTCACACTATCTGTATATATTTCTCTTACACGGCGACAAAAAAATCCTCATTACAACTATGTGTTATATGGATTTGAATGATTGTTTTGAATTCTTAGAATTTTGTGCATTTGCAATGTATCGAAGTTAGTAGCGAGCGAAGCGAGCTTGATTTGCGAAGCAAACCATATAAGATTGCGTAGCAATTTTTGGGGGTTGGCGAGCGTTAGCGAGCAGGGGGCGCAGGCCACTAGTTTAAAATTATTATCATAAGAATCGCATTATTTTCCCCCTATAGGATGTTTTGCTATGATCAAAGAGGTTTGGACCCCTTGGCCTAAGAAAAACAGGAATTCTTTAATTTTCACCTAAAAATGATAAACGCATAAAAACTTTTTGAGGGGGATTTCGGAAATTTTTGCGGAAGGTTTTGGTTTAAGCGATCTGAATAAAATTTTTAAAGAAATTTCAACAATAAGTGTTTGTTATTTCTCTTTAACTGAAGCAAAGCAACTGTAGTGAAAGTGTTTCCATAATCTAATCATGAGAAGGACGGAGTGCTGTTCTTGCACTTAAGGAGAGAGACAAAATGACTTTCACTTCTATTTCCATTACGGGGGACCATCGCACTTAGGGATCAAGTACTCTTCATAACAACCAAGAAGTGCTGTTGGTTTTACCCCTAGCAATCCTCCAACAGCTGATGTAATTGAATAAAAGACTTTCTTTTTTTTTCCCTTAAAAAAAAATCTTATGTGGGTTATTTTTTCCTCTTACGTTAGTGAGAATAAAATTCAGTAAGTATTTCTGAATTTTATTTGAAAATACTTTGTGATTTTTGGCAGACGTTTAGTTGACCATAAAATAAAAAAACAAGAACAAATAGTACTTGCTAATGTTATATCCTGTTTTAAGATTTTTTGTAAACTGCGTAAAAATATTATTAAAACATAGTGTTTAAAGCTGTTTAGTTCGTATTGTTACAATGCTCGAATAAGATGTTTTTATTGCAAAGTAGTTTATAAACATAGAGGGAGAGAACATTTTGGGGAATATGAAAAAATAAATCAGCTGTAAAATATGTTGAAACATTACACTGTTTGGAAAACATTTTCCACCAAACATTTTCCAACCAAATTCAGCTTTAATTAAAGGATTCTACGAAAAATTAAATGCAATTTCCTAGTTTATAATATTAGAATATTTTTTTGTTTAATTTAATTCATTTAAATCGAACCAAGTGAATCTAATTACTAAATTTTTAATTTAAAGATTATAAGTATTTTTTATTTTATTATTTTTTTTAAAATTCAAGGGTCATAGATTTATAAAATGCGTACAACCAATGCGTTCAAATGTAGTAACCAGTTTCAATAACACCTGTTTCAATAAGTAAACAAAATCGAGAAAAAAAAGGTTCCAAAACTATGCTAAATAAAGCTCCAACAACTATAAAATTTCATAAGTAGTAACTAGATTCAATAATACACATTTCAGTGAATTAACTAATACGAGAAAAAAAAAGGTTCCAACAGCTATAAAATTTTAAAAGTGGTAACTAGATTCAATAATACACATGTCAGTGAATTAACTAAAACGAGAAAAAAAGGTGTCAACAGCTATAAAATTTTAAAAGTGGTAACTAGATTCAATAATACACATTTCAATAAATAAAATTAAGCGAGAAAAAAAAAACGGTTCCAAAATTTTAATTTGTTACCAAATAAAGATACTGTATTCTTAAAATTCTCCTTAAAGTCACGTATAAAAAGTAGAGTGAGTTATTGTTCTTAGCTCATGATAACACTTCGTATTTGTGTGTTTTCATAACGTTACGTAACATTGTTATTCTGCGTTGCTCTCTGTGTGTAACTTCACTTTTATACATTAATTAATTTCGTTTCCTCTTAGATATTATTTATAGCTAAATATTTGTTTTTCTAACGAGATTAAAAAAAAAATCGGTATTGATCAACTCCATGAAACCATGCACAAAACTGAAAGACATGTACCGACGCAACATAATCAGCATATAGTAATTCCATTTTTTTATTATTATTATTTATTGTAATTCCCAGTGGCCTTACGTTTTTTGCATGAAGCAAAACACACTTTTTCAGGTTTTTCTCCAAGTAAAAATTTAATACAGTACCATTTGGCATGACATTATTCCTCGGGGCCAACTCTTGATAGTAGTCGCTGTAAATAAACTCATAATTTTGTTTTTAGCGCAACTGTAAACATAATAAATACGTGCTTTTTGATTTAATTTTGTGAAGTAGCTTTCACATGCCCTCCTTATATGACATAACGAAC